ACCTATCTTATCTAGAAATGTTCACATTACATGAAACTATTACTTAAAAATAAACACATTCTTTTCAAAGACTGAGGTATAAAAGTTAACTCTTGATTATTTCTTATGTGCTTATCCAGTTCTTAAAGTACCTATGCCTTCTTCTCTCCTCTGTGGTTCAGGACTTTATTTTCTAGTTCATCGCCCCTCTTACTCCAGGGTGGGCAGTGTAAGAAAAAAGGTACTGAAGTTCAAATCAGTTCTTTTTGCTACTTGTTCCAGCAGCTGACTTTAGTACAATCCATCTTCTTTTCTCTCTGTAGCTAATAAACTGGGATTGAACTCCCAAAGATGATTTCTTGGACTTTGCTTCTGATATCATTTTAACACTTCAGGATTCTGACCATGCATGGCCTTGCTTAGCCAAGTTATATGCATTTGTTCATTAAATGTCCACCATAAATCAATTTGCCTATTCTGCTTCCTTTTCTTCTTAAGTGGAAGATGAATTATGGGGTAGGATTTCTTAACACCCCAACATAAAACTAAAGCCCATAGGAGAACAAGACTTCACAGCTAGGATTTCAGATGTGTAGGGGCCCCATACTAACCAACGGATCACATTCATTTTAAGCACATGGTGGACCCAAACAGTGAAAACCAACATGCACATTAAAAAAATTTCAGTGGCTCTACTGTGGCATAGTAATGACCAAGTAGAGTAAGATCCTAAGTCTGAGACAGGCATACTGTGACAGAAATCTGGTTCAGATGTTTCCTAAATGTCAGGTTTTGCCAGTGGAGGGAAGGAATAAAAATGGAATAAAAGATGGGCACTGGAGCTGCTAATTAAAACAATTCAGAGAACATAAATGCTAGAGTAATTTTGGACCCGCCATATCAGGCTGCTTTCAATGCAAATGTGGCGCTCTGATTTCTTCCTTCATCGGGAAGATATAATTAGCTCAGCTGAAACAGGGTGAAAGCCTTGAGGCAGCCGTTTCCTGGAGCTGCCAGCTCCCCCTTGATGGAGAAACAGCTGCCACCCGCCCCCCATGCCCCAGATTGCACAGTGCTGTGGTCACCCCACAAGGCTGCCTCACAAGCTACCCTGAGCAGAGGGCTCAGGTGGCCAGGGGCTTTGGTTGTCGCTTAAATATAAGGGACATGTTACTCCTCAACCTAGTTGACTCTAGGCTCCATCATCATCCTTCCATATAAGATAGCCCAGGCTAACACAAAAGTCCTCCCTCATTACTATGGCAGAAAGGATATTCAACATTGGTGATGACAACACACTTCAGCTACAGCACCTCGTCACTTTGGAGTGTGCAGGCTTTTGGAGAGGATACAAAGAGAATAAGGAAGAAAAGTGGCCTGCAAACGAGAAACCTGAACTGTCAGAACACATTTCCAAGCTGCTGGGACAGAGAAGATGAAGAGACACCATGGTGGGAGGGGTTCAATGCCAAGCTTATAGATGACCCAACAGGTGGATAATTAATATGCAAGTGAGAGTATTCTGGGAAATAGCCACTGCAAAATGTTCTGGAGTTCAACTGCAAAAACAGAGCAACAGCTTCTGCTCATCTCTTTGATAAACTCCACAGAATGGACTCCACTGATATGCTTTTGATGTTTTAATAAGCAAAAATATTCTGCAAATGAATAGTATGATGATAAATAGTATCATGGAACCAAAAGTTTCACTATCTCTTTAAAATTGTAGAGAAGGCAAAATAAGTCATTGATATGTTTGTTTTCCTAGGCTACTATTAGATTGCCAAGTCTTAAATCCCTCAGCCACTTTCCTATCTGCTTCCACCCATTCCCACCCATTACAAAGGCCAGTGGAAGGCTGGTTCTTTTTCCTCATCCTCAGTGGGAATAACAAGCAAGCAAGTAAACATACAAACCCTGCAGCTGCAACTGAATAGTGACCATCGTATGGGACAGGGGTGATAAATAAATGTCGCATTTGAAGGACATTTTTTAATGACTGCAATAGTTCCCAGAACATTTAACAAATAAAGGAACTCAGAATCATTATTTTCTCCAATCAATTCAGAAGGAAGTACTTCAGGAAAATGGCACCTAAGTGGAGGGTTTTCTTTTTAACAATGATAAAATATGGTGGATGACAAGGGACCGTGTTTTTATAATGTGTAACTGACCAAGACTAACTCTTTATGCCCATAATCATGGTCACTATTTTGCTAATATTTTCCTTTTCAGGTTTTTTTTCATTGAGATATAATTCATATACATTGATATTTACCCTTTTAAAGTACACATTCAATGATTTTTAGTATATTTGCAAATATGCTAAACAACCATCACCACTATACAATTCTAAAACTTTTTCATCATCCCCAAAAGAAACTCCATCTCCAGTAGCAGTCACTCCACATTCTCCATTGCCCCCAGCCTCAAGGAACAGCTAATCTACCGTCTCTGTGGATTTGCCTATTCTGGACCTTTCACAAAACTGAAATCACATAACATGTGACCTTTTGTGTCTGGCTTCTTTCACTTACCATAATGTTTTCAAGGTTCATATGTGTTGTAGTATCAATCAGTACTCATTCCTTTTAATTGATAAATCATATTCTACTGTATAGATTACCATATTTTTTTGTTGATCTATTCTTCAGTTGATACACTTAAATTTTTTGTTTCCACTTTATTGCTATTATGAATAATGCTGCCATTTCACTTGTGTACAAGTTTTTGTGTGAACATACGATTTCATTTCTCTTATATGGTGACTCTGTGTTGAGCATTTCGAGAAACTGCCAAACTGTTTTTCCAAGCAGCTGCACCATTTTACATGCCCACCAGCAGTTTATGAGGGTTCCAATTTCTCCACATCCTCGTTAACATTTGTTATTATCTGTCTCTTTATTACAGCCATCTCAGTGGATATGAAGCAGTAAGTATTTCATTGTGGTCTTGATTTACATTTCCCTAATGACTATTGATGTTGAGCCTCATTTTGGGTGCTTATTGGTCATTGGTATATTTTCTTTAGAGAGATCTCTACTTAAATCGTATTTGCCTATTTTTTTTAATTGGGTGGTTTATCTTCATATTGTTGAGCTTTTCAGTCTTTTCCCTCTGAATTATTTTTCTAGAGATTGTAGAAAGGGACATTGGGTTCCACCTAGTTCAGTCCTGGCTTTGGGAATGAAGTATAACTTTAATGAACTGGATAATGATAAGGTTGAAAACATTTACTGAGCACTTATTTTGTGCCAGGCACTCTGAGACCTTTATTAACTTATAGCTGAAGAGAAAGCTGTTGCTTGGGCCAAATGTTTCTCCCTTAGGTGCTCATCAATATCAGCAAAGCTTTTCCTTAGGGAAACACCATGTGTTTTTTTTTGTCCCCCTGAGACAGGGAGGTGCCCCCATCCCCATCTCCCACCAAGGGAGCAGAGCAGACGCATCCATTGGGAGGTAATATACAATCCCTCCCCCTGCCATGTTTTAGCTATCTAGAACAACCTAGTCATTGCTAGACTCAGGACAGGTGCTTTGAAGCTCCACTTTGAACACCTGAAGTTGAGACTATGCTCACGTGTTCTACAAATACACCCAAGAGAATCTTTTTCAGTTTGGTCTCTAGTCCGTGTTATATAAAACATGGACAATGTTTATTGAGGTGACAAAAGAAGAAGCCCCACAAACAATCTGTAGAAGAAAATACAGCAAAGCAATCGATTCATTGTCTTAGACTAATTGTAGCAAAGTTGGCTCAGCTAAAGTGAAGCGGCATTGGAGGTAAGGGAGGCTGCAGGGAGAATAGGGAGCAAACTGCGGAGGCTCTTTCTCAAAAGTAAATCATAAAGGAAACAGCAAAGGTGCAGAGAGGCATTTCTTTCACCAGTCCTACCTTATGAAAGTTAGTCAAGTTACATGTTCTGTCTTCCTAGGCTATATACATAAAGCACATTGTTTCTTTTCCTTCCTATTTTCTTCCTCTTCCCTGGAAAGGCCAGCAAAACAAGGAAACCCAACTGAGCATTTGAGGTAGTAGGACACCACACGAACCTTCACTTTCAGTATCACGACTGCGAGATTTCCAGAAATGTTCCTTTTCCCTCATACCCAAGTCCCAAGATCTCAGTTCACAAATGTAACATGCCAAAGGGGCCAATTCCTGGTAATCAGTGGATTTGAATTATTGTCTATAACTCTATCCCTTAATGCTTCTAGTGGCGGAACCCCAGGTGGGCTGGGTGGGACAATTCAGGAGCTGACAGGATGGAACTTGATACATCACACCAAGAGGGCCACAGGTTAATCCACTTTCAACCAACACGATTCCATGTGGGAACTTCCAAGGTCTAGTGTACTATTATTTATGTGAACAACTTCATCTTAAGTCCAACCTCAAACAAATGCTCCAGGCATAATTTCACAGTGCAAACCTCAAAATTATTTAAACTCATGCCCTCCAGGAATTTCCCCAAGCCCTCGGAATCCCCTGGCGGAATCCTCAGGCTGAGAACTTTCCTATTAGAAACATCACACACCACTCTGGAGAGCCATGGAAAGAGCAGAATAGGTGTCGTGGGCTGAACTGCATTTCCCCGAAATGTATGTGTTGAAGTCTTAATCCCCAGTACCTCAAATCATGACTGTAGTTGGAGTTGGGGCCTTAAAGAGGTGATTAAGTTAAAATAAGGCCACTGAGGTGGGCCCTAATCCAGTCTGACTGGCCCCTTTATAAGAGGAAATTTAGGCACACAAAGAGACACCAGGGTTGTGTATCTACAGAGGAATGACCATGTGAGGACACCGATAAGGCATTGTCTGCAACTCAAGGAGAGGAGCCTTAGAAGAAGCATCATCACCCTGCTCTTCGACTTCTAGCCTGAAGAACTGTGAGAAAATAAATGTCTGTTGTTTAAGCCACTTAGTCTGAGGTATTTTGTTATGGTAGCCCGAGCAAATGAACACAAGGACCTCCCAGGGACACAAGGCCCTGGGGTCTCCTGGTGAGCGCAGCCACTCACCCTATAGTAGTCAGTGCTGTACACATCCCGGGACATGCCAAAGTCCCCGATTTTCACCAGGAGGTTCTCGCCAACCAGGCAGTTTCGGGTGGCCAGGTCTCGGTGCACAAAGTGCTGGGATGCCAGGTAGACCATGCCTGCGGCGATCTGCTGAGCGATGTGCAGCATCTGCGACTGCGTCAGCTCCGTCGGCGGGTTGCCTTCAGCCATCAACACGGCATCTGGTCCATGTGCCCTGCAGAGGACAGGGAAGGTGTTGCCGGAGCTGGAACTCTTCCTTGAGAGACCCTTTGCCCTTCCCCCATGCACCCCCCAGTTGCTGGTTCTAAAAGACGCAGCCTGACTTAGCATAAAGAGGAGCAAAAGATGCTTCACCCATGACTGTACCTCAAAAGCACCCAGCCTTCAATTCCCAGAGTCTAGAATTCCCAGGGCCTGAATGGTAACCCCTTCAAATACAGACAGGTTCATGTTTTGAGGGCTCCTGAAGAATGCTGGGGTCAGGCACAGGCCAGAGCCCCCAGTACTGAAAAGCAGTGGGTGGCTGAAGCGCAAAAATAAAACAAAATGCCAGGGGAGAGCTTGGCTCTCCTAGAACAGTGAGTCATTGAGCCCCAGTGAGAGCATCACCCGGCCTCTCCCAGCCACAGGCTGCAGCCAGCTCCCCCCACCAAGGCTGCAGCCAGCACCCCCGACTAAGGCTGATCTCTCCAGAGTGCCCCACCAGGGCCAGAGCTGGCATCTGTGTTGTCCCCGATTCCACCTGCTCTGCTTCCCGGCATGGTTTCCAAGCTACACTGATCTCCCTTAAGCCCATTTCAGCAGAATCCCAGGGCATTGTCACCCTGGACATTCATTCCAGGTGAAAAATACCTTCTCCTTCTGCCCACCCCTTCCCCTGACCTCTGGCTCAACACATGCACTGGCCACCACATAGGAGAGTTCTTTTGAATGACAACACATTTTTTCTTTTACTGGGGTAAGTTGAATTCTTTACGCTTTTTTTTTGGCGGGGAGGTGTTGGTGAGAGTATGGTATTTTATATCTGTCTTCTGTCTTACACACCAGCCTTTTCCCAGCTGTGGGATGAATTAAGGTATCATAACACTGATAGGTGCTTCAGGGAGGGGAGGGTCCCAGTCTTAGGATCCTCCATCAGCGCTGGCGGCGGTCGCCACTCTGGAACCCTGCGAGGTGAGCCAAGACTGGTGCCACTGCCCCTGGCGGCCTGATGGGGCACCGCAGGGCAAGAAGTGAAAGCTTGGCCAAAGGGCTTCTCCCTCCCAAAGGCTAGTCGGCCAACGACATCTCCTTCCAGACAGTTTGAAGCACTTAAAATCAACATAGAGGATTTTAAATGAGTTCTAAAGTGGTTCCTTCACCTGCAGTGTTCCAGAGCTGTATGGCTATCTGAAAAGGAGAGAGTCAGGATTCAAGAACCTGGACCTGGTGTTGCCCCACCCCTTACCAGCCAGCTCTGTCTCGGACGAGTTACTCAAGCACAGGCATTTACCCTTCTCAATCATGGCACCAGCCCGGAGTGATTCCCCCTTTCCTTGATTTCTAAAATATGCTGTCATCTGATCTTTCATTCCTGTATTCTTGGACAACAAGCACTGGACAAGGAGGTGTGGTGTTACCCCGTCCCAGAGGTATCCAGGACCATGATCTGCAGAAGACTTTTCAATTTTCCAGTGTTTAATTTCTCCGTTAGTCAAAAGTACAAAGGGATACTATGCTGTGTGATCATTTAGGTCCCTTTTGTCTCTAAATACCTGGATTGAGCCATTCCTAGAAAGGAACTTCCTATTTTTATACAAGGGAAGTCCTAACACATCTAGTTCACCTCCATTCAAACCATAGTTCCCCCAACCACCTCTTGTCACATTGGGGAGCAATAAGGAGGAACGCCCCAGGGATCTCTTCAGCTCGAAATCTCTCCCTGGAATAAGCAATCTTGCAGTGCAGTGGGCAAGGCTCTGGGTATCAGAACTGAATTTGAATCCTGTCCTAACACAGCAGCTGTAACCTCAGGTGAGCTTCAGAACCTCTCTGGGCCTGTTTCCTCATTCTGTAAAGTGGGGATACTGACCCCAACTTCCTTAGCACACTGATGTGAGAAGTAATTGAAACTCTGCTTGTACAATGCTTTGCAGCCTTCCATCAAAAAGCCAGAGAGAAAGGCTTTGCAAACACAGGTTCTCTCTAAAAAAATGGAGAAGAGACAAAAAAGCACAACTTATCTTCTGGGCATTTCTTCCCCCCCGCCCCCCGAATGGCCTGTGACAGGGCTCTTAGGGACACCAAAGGGCTGGCCCTTCCTACCTCACGAAAGAACGAAAGATTACTCAAGCCCAAGCCTTCTCAGTACTAAGAGGCAGGGAAAAGTGATAATGTTTTCACTCATCACAGGAGACAAAGCTCTTATGTGGCCTCACCAGGAGAGGGACCTAGGGGAGCACATAAAGTATGAGAAATCCTGTAATACCCAGAGAATCTAGGCCAGGATGAAATCTTCATAGATTTAGTTCAAACAGGGAAATAATTTGTTGATTTGCCATAGCCATATTTCAGCCCTAGGACTCTAGGTTCCTCTAAGAATCTGTCCATTGCAAAGACTCTAAGGAAAAGGACAAGTTAGAAGCCAGTACAAACGGACACTCTGAGCAAAACCGCAAGCTGCCTTCTGCACTCTACACTACCATGTGTGGATGGGGCAGGCGCCTGCAATTTTAACCAGTTATTTCTCATGCTTGCCTCTGGGTATTTGAACAAGTCTCCTTCCAATGGGAGAAGACTCTGGATGCTTTCCTTGAGCAGAAAGTCCTATTGTAAATAGAGGGCAAGTGAGTCTTTTAAGAAGAGTATAAGTAAAGTTAATACAATGGCCCTCTGCTTCACTCCCAGGAAAAAGAACAGTATTTCATCTCTTCCAAGAAAAGATGCCTTCAAAGGGAAAGCACCATAGGACTCTGGAGTGGGTGGCAGGAAGGGTCAGTGGGCTTCTGACCAGGAAGGCTGCTCACCCTTCCTCCCTCAGCTTGGTCTCTCCCCGTGTGGGTTACAGTCGGCACTTAGCCACACTGTTCTGGCCCCAGAATTCCATAGCACACTAACTTCCTTCCGATTTTCTAATAGTCACTTCAGGAGGAAGTACTGCAGTGGTGAAGGCTATGGGTTTTGCAGACAGGGGCTGCCCCAGCCCTGCCACTGACTAGCGGTGTTAACTCAGGTTCTTCAACTGTAAAATGAGGATGATGGAATACTAGTTTATGAAGTTTATATAAGTGACTACATTTTAAATGCTTACAAAGTCTCAATAAAGGTGAGCTGTTATTGCTTGAAAAAGCTTTGCTTATCTTCTCTTCATTGGAAGAGCATTTTGGAGAGAGTCTAAGAGGAGAAACTCTAATCTCCTTGAAAGCAAGAACTGTGTTTTACTCCATGTTTCCCAACCTAGCACAGAACCTGACCATGTTGGTCCTCAGTATATATGCCCTTTGGATGAATGAAAAGGGTGGGAACATAACTGTAGTCACCTGTCATTATAAGGCAGTGCCAATGATACTTGGGGACATGTTCATGGCAGTTTAAGGGCTGGGTTTCCTTCCAGAAAGAGAGGATACATTGTAGCTCACAGCATAGTATTGCACCTAAGCACCTGATTCTTAGCATGGAAAACTTCTTGCTCCCAGAGTTCAGCAGATTCTGAAATTGAGCAGAGGAGGTTTCCAATAGCTCCATGGCTTATAGAAGATGCCAAGAGAGAATAAGGTGCCTGCTCCTTCTGGAAGGCAGGAAAAAGAGCTAGGGATAGGTCAACAGAGCCAAAAGTGAAAGAATCAACACACACACACAAACACACACACACACACACACACACACACGTGTGTGTGTATGTGCTTATATGCATGTGCACAGTCTGAGCTCACAGGAGCATTTAATTTCATCCAGGTGAATACATGTGGATTTATTATGCTATGAGTTTTTGTTTTGTTTTGTTTTGTTTTGTTTTTTTTTGCTATGGTGTTTGGAAAGCATCATTTTTAATTAGAGAAGTAGCCTAGAGCATGGAAACAAGGAAACAATATTTCTTCTATGAGCATCCAGACTTCAACCAAATTTAGCTTCTTTTTCCTCCTTTCACATTAAATCTGACAACACAACATGCAAAAGCTATCATCATCCTCTCTCGTATCACCTACAAGCAAAACTTTGCTGACATTGGATAATGCGTTATCAGGATGAGCAGCTCTGAACACCATAAGTTGGCTCCATATTCCTAATCTCACCTGGCATTCCCTCACATTCACAAATCAGGCAAAGCAGAGAAAGGGGACCCATCCCAGAGAAGGACTAAATTACACATGTATTCATGAGGCTAGAGATGGTGAAAGTGGTCCAGATGGCACAAATCATGTGATGACATCTCTAACCACAGCAGCGCACTCTCCCTCTTCCACTGTTCTCTCAGTGATTGACTTATTACTTAAACTACACAGTTTCTGAATCTTCCAGTGGTGACATGCAGCTACTGGTGCCGATTTCCATGAAAAGCCTTCTTCAGTGCCCACACAAACCGGAGGTGGTCAGAGGTGTAGGTGTTTCCATAACACGGAAGGCATAATATCCCAGGATTTTGGATCCCTCAACCAAAATAAAGAGGAAAACGTGGCAGAGAAAAAGGTTAGTGGGGACAAAATCTATCAACTGCCTCCCATCACAATAGTCCTGACACGAGTCCTTGCTGTGGATATTATTATACCCGGTTTACACGTAAGGAAACTGAGGCCAATGAAGGCAGGTGCAAATTAGTCACCTGCCCCTAACATCTTCCCTTTTTCTGTTAAATTACACCATTTGCCAAGAAATCATAGGCAGTATGTTTGCTGATCTTTCAAAGCCAAGGGGCAGCTCTATGTTAAAGGAACCAGCACGTCAGAGGCAGACATGACTTGGAGAGGCTCTCTGAGCCACAAAGGACTCTCCCTTCTGAAGCTCACCTCCCACCTCGTCCCTGCCCTGCCACTGTACCTGAGGAACTTGTTGAGGTCCCCGTGCTTCATGTACTCGAAAACCATGATGAGGGGGTCGCCTTCCACACACACGCCGTAGAACTTGACAATGTGCTCGTGCTGGAGGTTGGTCAGCAGCTCAGCCTCACGGTGGAAGTCCTTGCGTGCGTTGTCACTAGCGTCCTTCAGCGTCTGGGGATGAGGGGCAGAGAGGAGAGAAAACCAACACATCTTAAATGGAGGCTGTCAAAGAGAAGGTTGTGTTGAGAAGGAATTACTTCCATGGGCCCCGAGGTTCCTCGATGGGAAGGAAATTCATCTCATTTATTACAGGAAAGACGGGAAAACAGCATAATTCCCAAGGAAATAATGTTTGTATTAATAGCCTAGGAGAAGCCCCTTGTGGGTATGCAGAGCTTTACAGTTTATGAAGCACTTGCCCAGATGTTACCTCATTAAGTTATAGACACAAGTGTTATAGTTTTCATGCCTTCTAGCTGTGGCCTGGGCCCAACTAGTACCACGGACTTCTCTCCTATTTTGGTGCCTGTTGTGCTTTCTAGGATGCAACATGTACCTCACCTCTGCTCCCATAACATTTGTAAACTTAGTATTATGGAAATGTTCAGTAGAGAGAAGAGCATAAAAAGACCTCATGTACCCCTCTTTCAGCTTTGACAATGATCATTTTGCTGGTTTTATCATGTGACACTCTAAAAAACCTTCTCCAATTGGTGTCCACACACACTGCTGGCTCAGGAAACATCCTGCTAGCAGGCCAATTGCACTGCCAAGGTGAAGATGCACAGGGTCATGCCAGCCAAGCTCCAGTGCCTTGAGATCTCAGCTCAGACCACTCTGCCACCATGGTGCCATAGTAGGCAGAGCAAAGCTGGCATCTGTTGATACCACACACATGTGCTGAGTTCCTGTCCTGTGCCAGCCACTGAGCTAGAGCTGTGATGGCATCAAGAAGGCACTAACCCAAATCCTGGCCTCAGGTGCTTATTTGCAAATGGGAGATAAGTCACATATATAATTGACTCTAAGCTTAAAACACACTGTCATGAATGAACCTTATCTCCCCGGCATCCCTGTCCAGTGTGACCTCCTGACATGCCCCTCTTGACACGTATGCTTTCACTTTACAAAATATCTGCAGCTGCTCAGAAGACACCAGGCCACACCTCTGCCCTGCACATTCCCACCCGTCTACCCAGAATGCTGACTCGGGCATGGTCACTGGTGTTTGGCAGGTGAATAACGCCCCCCTAAAGATGTCCATGTCCCAATCCCTGGAACACATGACTATGTTACCTTACATGGCAGAAGGGACTTAATCACAGGTGTTATTAAGTCAAGGATCTTGGTGTGGGGAGATTATCCTGGGTTATCAGAGTGGGCTCGCTGTCATCCCCAAAAGGGTCCTTATAAGAGGGGCAGGAGCATCAAGACAGAGACGATGTGAGGATAGAAGCAGAGTCAGAGAGGAGAGAAAATGCTAGGATGCTGGCTTTGAAGACAGAAGAAGGGGCCATGAGCCAAAGAATATGGATGGCCTCTAGAAGCTAGAGAAGACAAGGAGACGAATTCTATCCAAGAATGTCCAGAAGGAGCCAGCCCTGCTGATATCTTGACTTTCGCTTAGTAAGCCTCGTTTCAGAAGTATGGCCGCCAGAACTGTGAGAGAAACCATTGGTGATGTTTCAAGCCACTAAGTTTGTAGTAATTTGTTACAGCAGCCATAGGAAACTAATACACCTGGTTAATACCTAGCAATCTTCTGAGACTAGGCTCAGACCTCACCTTTCTGAGAAGTATTCTCTGACTCCCTCGTTGCTGTCACATTCCCTCTGCACCAGGTTAGGTGACAACCTCCTTAGGCACATCTCATACTTAACCTCTATAATATTGCCAACCACAATACATTTTAATTGTGTGCTTACTTGCTTATCTCTGATATTGATGGTGAGCTACTTGACCCAGGGACTGTGCTTTCCATCCCTGCATTGCCAGCACTGGGCACAGTGCCAGGCACATGGCAAGTATTCAACAGAGGTTTGTGGAATGACTAAAAAGGCCACAGGAAGGAAACACTAAGTGCAAAAGAAGAGTTTAGAAAGGGAGCGATTGCTTCCATTGAGGGACAAGAGGAAGGAAGCCCAGAGAACTCCCACTCGTAGAGGTGGCATATGAGTATCTGAGTCCCTTCTCCAGGGACACTGCAATCAGTCCTTATCAAAGTTAGATGGCAAATGTGGACATCCATATTCACTTCAGCTGGAACAGAATGAAAGCATGGCCATCCATCAGATGTGTGTAGAATGCAAGACTAGACACTATGTCCTGTGTCAAAGAACACTGCCAGATCTTTGGTGGTCGTTTCATAGGCTGCCTCGACCCTCTCTCCCTGTGGGGATAATCCTGATCTGGACAATTTATAGACCTTGGGATGTACCGCAGGTCAAATTCTTGGAGAGAAAACTCTGAGATGGAGATTAGTAGACAAGACATTTACCTGGGCATGCTCTTGGGATTAACACCTGTGGGAGGGACTGGGCCGAGGATGAAGCTGAACTATGATGCAGTCTCGATAGAACGTCATCTGGGTTTACGGATGGCCCTTCAGAGTTGTCTTGAGTTGGGACAATAGGGCCGAGCTTTTATAACCCTTTATCAATCAGTCATCTGATGGGGGCCACCCCAGGAAGGGAGTGTGACCTTGAGAGGACCTGCTGAGCCCCCATATAAAGCTGGCAGCTGAGGACTGTCGCTGTAGCTTTCCAAGCAAGTGAGGCCAGGTGGCCAGGTGGTACATCATCAAGTCCAGCACAGGATGAGTTTGCAAATGGTGTACTGTGCCTGGGGCTGCTCTCCACCCCGGGGGACACAGGGAACAGGCAGGGCCTGCCTCACATCAGTCACAAGAAACATTAAGATGACAGAGGCAGCAACAAGATCACAGTCTTTTCTGCTATGATCTGCACAATCTAGCATCTCCACGAACTGCCTTTGATAAGATTTGAAACTTTCTCCCCAATGGTGACCTGATCCAAGGAGACAAATTATAGGTCTAGTTTTCATTAGGCCAGAGGCAGTTAATTCTTCTGCCAAATCCTGGAGATACCATTTGGAAAAAGAGTCTGATGATGAGGTTCCCATTTCCACTTTAGCATGTGGTTTTCAGAACGGTGTCCCTTAAAAAGCCCCATCAGTTCTGCTTTGAAAACTAGGGTGTCTCAGGTGGGTACTGGACTAATTGGGGGGATCACTTCATAGATTATATAAATGCTTAACCACTGAAACTAATATAAAATAATATTGAATGTCAACTATAATTAAATATATATATAGTCACGGGATGTAAAGTACATCATAAGGAATATAGTCAATGGTATTATAATAGCTATGTATGGTGTCAGATGGGTAGTAGATTTGTTGGGGTTATCACTTTGTGAGGGGTGTAAATGTCTAATCATTATGTTGCTTTATACACCTGAAGCTAATAAAAAAAATTTTTTTAAAGACACAAAGACAAGCTACTCATTGGGAAGGAATTTGGGGTAAATATTTGAAATCAATATGTTATTGGTTTATAACAATAAAATGTTCTACTTTTCTGAAAAAAAGAAAGAAAGAAAGAAAGAAAGAAAGAAAGAAAGAAAGAAAGAAAGAAAGAAAGAAAGAAAGAAAGAAAGAAAATCAAGTATATTTGGGCCAGCAAGTGTTCAGAGAGGCCATAATCTTTGATAGATTCGTTTCCATGGAAACCACACATTTCTTCATTTAATAACAAAATGAACAGTGGCCAAGAACTTGGTGTCTGGGGCTCTGCTCCTTCAAAGCTCCAGAAACTGGGTTTGTATCCATCCAAACTAAACTCCTTTCATCCCTTTTACACAGGGAGGAGTGAAGTGCTTATCTTGATGACTTGTTTAGTTTGTTTTATCCACGGAAATGCTTTTAGCTGTTTTTTGTTTTGTTTTGTTTTGTTGTTTTAAATCTACGCACTGTTTTCTTTTTGATGAACTTCTATGTAGAAAAATGGCAGATGAGGCAAGGAGAGACGTGGAGGGGATGAACATTGTCATCATCTGGGTCCTTCCCCTGGGCCCACAAAGCAAAACACACACATCCAAGCATTTCTTGCACTTGGACTTACACTATGGATTTGAGTACATGTCTGTCTCCACTACTTCCTTTGATGGGAGAAGTGTGCTGTGTTCACCTATTTATTGCTAACTGCCTAACCCAGTGTTGAGCAACTAAAAGAACCCCTGACCCATGAGGTCTGTGCAAACTAGAGATAAAAGAGGAAAGGAATGAAAAGTGACTGTTCATCTGGTAAGAACACAGGCCCAACTATGGAACAGAAATGAAAAACGGACAAGGAAAAGACAGCAGGTCAGAGAATTCAAGGCTGAGGGAGGCCCTTCCCAAAGCACCCCCTCCTGGAGAAATGGCCCCAAATGCTTGTGTTCTTCTAGTCAAAGGGCAAATCTTCACAATGGTTGTGCTCAAACCAAAGGGGTTCTAGTTTAAAATCAAAAGACCTCGTTCAAATCCCGGCTATGCTCTCGTCCTCTGTGAACTCTGGTTTTCTCCTCTGGAAAATGAGGGTAACAATATCATCTACTTCACAGGGCCACTGGGAGGAAGGTGAGACAGTGCAAGCTGGAATGCCTTCCAGGGCTCCTGTAGAAAGTAGCATTTGGGTGATTTGAATTTGAAACCACAACCAGGCCTGCATTCAGTTTGCTCACACAAGGATCCAGGAAGGACAAAGGTGCATGGATAAGGCACAGGGCTGGCCCAAGGCATGAGAGCAGCAGTGCTTCTGAGGCTGCTGCTGTTTCCCTCCTGAAAGCCCTTGAATTCTGCAATGTTTTCTACAAGACCCAGTCTCTTTACTCAGAGGCTGCTCTGAGTTGCTGAGATAGCTTATTTGTAAAGATTAGGTCTGTCTTTAACAGTGAATTGGAGAAGGTGGCAGACCAATTCTGGCCATTATCACAAGGCATGAACTAATTATGCGTGTAATCTTTCTTCTCAAGTTTCAGCTAGGTAGAGTTGATTCAAGATTGCTAGTGTGTGTGTGTGTGTGTGTGTGTGTGTGTGTGTGTGTGTGTGTGTGTGTAAAGAGTGGGGGGAGAATATGTCAGGCAGCAGGGTAGAGAGGTAAAGTAGGAGAG